CATTTCAGCTTGATTATTCAGGCCTCAAAACTTTGATATGCAAGAGGGTAATGTCCGCAACAAAAACTGCTTTTAATCTCATTTGCAACTCAACAATTACTCTCAGCATGATCTCATTACTGCTGCTCTTTTAGATTAACATGTGAACAAATATTTCAAAAGAAAAGTGACAATTAAAATTAATTAGACATGCTGTTGCGGACATCACCGTTGCGGAGATTACGATTTCAACTTTTGCCATTTTCATTTGTGAAATATTGCTATTTTTTAGAAAAAGTACTTCTTTTCATAGTTAAAGCATAGTACTCCTCTAAGGCATGCTTGCATGTAATAAAACTGACCAAAATCTAAAATTTAATTGGTGACTTTCCACTTTCAATGAATAGTCCTTTTTTCTTGATATGTTCATTTTTTTTTATTTTAATTATTACCTAAAATGACTGTTCTTTAAGCATAAAGTAGCTATTAAACACTTTTTTAACATTTTATATTTATTCCTGCCGAATTTTTTTGCTTTAAATTCTGTACTATCCCAAAAATTTAATGTCGGCAACACTTATGGGGTAATCTCCGCAACAAAGAATTTAGTCTATAGCTTCCACAATAGAAATGAAAATATAGAAATGATAACGTTTTAATGTCCATTATTACTTAAACTAATCAGAGTTTTAGTCTCTTGGAAGCTTTTCACAATTTACAGCAATTCTAGCTTAAAAGCAGTCACTTAGATACATTTGGTTGATTTTAGGGTAATGTCCGCAACAGTCACTATTAATGAAATGCAATGTTCCTTTTTTTTGTTTAATTATTACCTAAAATGACTATTTTTTAAGCATAAAGTAGTTATTGAATACCGTATTTACCCATGTATAAGCCGCTCTCGTAGATAAGTCGCACCCTGAGTTTTAGGGGCGTTTTTGAGGGGAAAAAAAGACAGAAAATAAACTTTTCTCTTTTTGATCGCCACTTGTGAACACAGCTTTCTTTGATTTTAAAGTGCTTTTCCGCTGCTCGATTTCCGTGATCCAAATTAGCATCGCATTACCACAACAACTCCAAGACAAAACGATTCAAAATGCTCTCTGTTCATGATCATTGGCTCAATAACCACGCACTTTTCAGTGAATTATTGACTGGTGTTTCTCAGGGCTAGATTTTCAGAGAATTTATAGTAATACTGAGAAGTTTGGATTAAAATTTCTGTTCTCGCCGTCCTGTCTGCTGTAAGTAGCACAGTGAATGCTAATTTATGCAAATTAGTTTTTATTGGTAGATAAGCCGCACCCCCGATTTGGGAACAATTTTTTTGGAAAAAAAGTGCGGCTTCTACATGGGTAAATACGGTACTAATTAACATTTTATATTGTTTCCTGCCAAATTTTTTGCTATAATTCTATACCATCCCAAAAAAGTAATGTCTGCAACACTTATTAGGTAATGTCCACAACAAAGACATTAGTCTATAATTTCCACAATAATAGAAAATAACAAAGTTTTAATGGCCAGTATTGAACCCCCATCATTACTTAAACTAGTCAGAGTTTTAGTTTCTTGAAAGCTTTTCACAATTCACAGCAATTCTAGCTTAAAAGCAGTCACTTGAATACATGGTTGTTTTTAGGGTAATGTCCGCAACAGTCACTATAAATAAAATATCTAAGGAGGGAAAGGAGGTATCTGGTGTTTTTCACATACATAGTGTGAGTGCTGCAGTTAGAAGTTGTGATCAGTTTTGTAACCATATTTTGCCTCTGAAGGTAATGTCCGCAACATGGAATTGACCTAAAAACTTTAGTAATTATTAAATAGTGCTAAATTGTACCCAACTAAGAGAATTTCTTTTTTTTACATGGGAAGTGGTAGCGCCGCAATTTGACTGTCTGCTTAGCTATTTACTTTTTGCTATTAGTTCTACTTGATATTAATGCTTGCAGCATCACCTAATGTGCACGAGACTTTTCCTTAATTTCAACTGTTACAATTCACATTTTGAACACATTGAGTGGTACATGTACTTTTAGTAAACTGTTGTTGTTTTCAAACTGAAAAGAAACAACATATTATGCCAATTGATTGTACAGTAAAACAAACACAGAATTAATTTTGATTATTTTATGTCTTCAGAAAAAGATCGCTGTAAAACCTGTCAAGGCAAGAAAGTTGTACGGGAGAGAAAAATTCTTGAAGTTCACATTGACCGTGGCATGAGAGATGGCCAGAGGATCACTTTCCATGGAGAAGGGGATCAAGAGCCTAACGTAAAACCAGGGGATATTATTATCGTTTTAGATGAATCACCCCATTCTATATTTAAAAGAGATGGTATGGATTTATACATGACAATGGTGAGTACTCTGGGTCTGTGTTTGGACAAAAAAAAAGAGATGTAAATGCATTCCTGGACAGGCTACAGTACATGCAATGTCCATGTTTATGTGAAAGTAATGCAATACCAAGTGCCAAGGAAACATCTAAAATAGTCAGAAATATTCATGGTTTGTTTGTCATTCTGATAATATGTTATGTAAAGTACCAGTTTCAAAAATGACAAATAGTAATAATAATAAACAATGTAATAAATGTAAGTTGATGGAGAATTAATACAGCTGGCTTTGGTTGATGACAATATTTATGTTTTTATTAGGAAATTGAGCTAGTTGAAGCTTTGTGTGGATTCAAACGAACAATAAAAACACTAGATAAGGACACACATTATCTTGTCATCAAAACAGAACCAGGAGAAGTCATACAACCAGGTAAGGTCCATTTCATATTCCTATCAGCTCTTTTGTAAATAAATTTTGAAGGAAGTAATTTTTACAGAAAAGTCACTTCCAATATTATTTGATATTCAAAGGTGATGTCAAATGCATCATGAATGCTGGTATGCCTTCACCTCGCCGACAGTTTGACAAAGGATCTCTCATTATTAAGTTTGATGTAAGTATCTGCTCAATCTTTACACAACATTTACATTTCTGTATATGTAAACGTATTCATTTGGTAGATGAATTGTTTCGTTTTTGCATTGTGATCAAAGCTATTTCAAAGTTTAATGATGTAGCCTAATATGGCTTGAATGAAAACAGATTGATAAAGTCTAAAGAAGTTTACCATGCACGCATCTATATTGAGGCTTATCTTTAAACTCTGAATAGGGTTAAAGCTGATTTAGCATAACACCAATTTATGAAAACCTTTCTTTGCAATACTTTTGTTGTTACAACCATTAAAGGGACTCTGAGGTCCTAGGTGAAATGTAGTTCAAAACATTCATGTGGCTATTCAGATTACGAAAATCAAAAAGAACTTTTAGTGTGATATACATCAGCAAACTCCAGCGGTGGACTCCCTGTGATTTTTCAACAATTTTATACATTTGGTTCACTGTGTAGTGATGACATCAAATAGTGGAAGTGCTCATATTTTGCCATCAATGTTACAAGAGAAATATGCCTCACTGCGTAGTGTTTAAGTGTTGGAACGAATCCAAGAAGAAAGAAACTAAAAATCTCAATAAAATCACAAATCTTATCATTTCTAATATTTTTTTTTGACGCACCACAACTATTTGATGTCATAATTACACAGCCAGTCCAATGCATAAAATTGTTGAAAAAGCACAGGGACTCCACCGCTGGAGTTTGGCAACGTATATCACTGCTAAAAGTTGCAAATTGAAAAATTTCTTTTTGATTTTCGTAATCTGTAGAGCCACATGTATGTTTTAAAGTACATTTTACCTGGGACCTCAGAGTCCCTTTAACCCAGGTGTCTCATATTGGATTTGTTTTTGTAGATAAAATTCCCAGAAACCATAAAACCACAAAAAATTACAGCTTTGGAGAAACTACTGCCTCCAAGAACAGAAATGATTATACCAGATCAAGCTGAAGAAGTTGTCCTTAAAAAAATTGACCCAGAAGAAATGAAAAGAGAGAGAAGGCAGTATTATGTGAGTATATAGTTAGACATGTATAATGACTACAAGCTAAAATTAAATGACAGGTAAATTATTGAGAGAAGAAGTCAGCCTCTATTCTTGTTGGACCATTGGAAATATGTGGTTTGGCTAGCTCATGAGGATTCTGTTGTGAGGGTTTTTCCTGTCTGTGCTCTTTGACTGCAGTGCAAAAAACAGTTGYGTCTTGGGGCCATAAGCTGACGCATGAAAATGTATGATTGGTTGGTTGCATGTTTGATCAGTCCGGATTATAGTCGTATATGGCGAGATTTCTAATTAGAAATCTGGCCAATCATATACCGGGATTCAGTGAAACGTCACAAATACGTCACAAATCCAAGTAGTATCAAATCATACAATATGGCAGATGAACCTGAGATGTGGAGAGATTTAGTGAACAGAATTCCAAGCAATTATTGCAACCGAAATATCAAATTTATCTCATTTTTATTACGCTAATACAAATTGAGGATCACCACTAACCATTCATTATATATCAGTTTGCGATAAGCTGTGGTAGCTTTATGACGATTACAATTTTATATTTGGAAATCTTTGATACAATGAACTTCTCGGGATTTTATTTGGCAACTAGACGTCCCTGGGGCGTGAAGTCGGACTAGCTATTTTTGAAAACTGATAGACACGAGTGAAAAGATTATGATGTTATATTCTGTTTAATCATATGATTATATTATGAATGCAAATGAAACTTGAGAAAAACAGGAGGATATTACATAAAATATAAAAATTAGATTAAAATATATATTTCTTAATTTTTCTCCAAAATAGCCGAACTCACGGCCTAATAAGAGCGTCTAGTTCAAAATATCCAAACTCTCTTGAGACTAAAATAAACTTGACCTAAAAGGTCAAGCCTCTCTTTTCAAAATGCAATAGTTTTATAAATTTTAAAACATCCGAGTAGTTTTATGTCAAAGAAGATTATTATTGTGGATAGAATGTACGTGTACACATATTTTCATTGTCAACAAGCTCATTTAATTGAGACGTTTTGAACTGTATCAGGTGAAGATTTTCAAATTAAAAAGCAAATTTAAGCTTAAACCAGATTAAAACTGCCTAAGGTTCTTGAAGTAGAAGAATTGAAATAATTTGAGCACCAAAAACCGCTTGCACATAAGTATAATCTAACATACCGCCATTTGTTTAATAACGCCACGGTATCGTCGGAGAATATGTCAGTTCTCCTCAGAGAAATTCTCCCTCAATAATCGTTGTCTTAGGGCGTTCACTTGTTTCTCGATTTGCTTGAGTCTTTATAAACTTGATTGTTTTGTCTATCACGTTTTCCCTTTCAAGCCTGCATTGTTCTTCACTTAGACTTCTTCGACGCTCTCTTTCTCTTCTTCTTGTCCTTTCTTCTTCAGATAAAGATCGCTTTCCGTTAGCTACCCGTTGATTTTCCGACATTTGCCGCAAAAGTAAAGTATTTGAAAGGACAAAAATGGAGTCGTTGCGGTGAAAAAGTTGTTTCAACAATTGACTCGAGCGCGACACTCCGCGAGCGCGCTTCCTTTTCCCGCCTTCTCAAAAGTATTTATACGCAGCCAATCAGAATCGCGATGTACACGGACGGACGGACGGACGGACGGACGGACGGACGGACGGACGGACGGACGGACGGACAACTGGTCTTCCTGTGTCTGTTGATCAAAACTCAAGGGTTTACCATTTTTCCTTAGTTATGGTGCTCCGCTCGAAGGCCCGCGCAGGAGCTCTGCTAAAAATTATCAGTTATCTAAGGAAAAATAGGAAAGATCATGAAATATGTTCATAAATTTATAAGCTTAACTTCTGACTGTAGCAATATGGCGGAAAACTGGCCTTAGAAAATTGACGATATTTCACTTAAAAAACAATGGGCGATTTTTTAATTTATTTATATTTATATTTAATTTATTTTATTATCGTTTTACATTGGTAATATCAAGACAATTCAGTCACAACTATGGAAAACGTCTGGCAATGTCAAAATTGTGGACTTGTCCTTGGTAAAAAGACAACAAAATTTTAAAAGTTATTATTTCTTTATGAAGCAAAAATATATGCGAAAACTATTACAAAATCCACAAAAGAATAAAATATACTACCGATTTCATGTGTTCTTTTTCAGACAACGCTTCAAAATTCATCTAAAAACGCATTTTTGTACACATATCGAGTCCTGGGACGTCGCAATCTCTGCCTTTGAGATTCCCGCGAAATTCGAAATAGGCCAACATGATTGGTCAAAATTACAACCCAGGATCCTTTTCGTGCTGTGTCCAACACCGCATGGGATTTTCCCGCATTTTCCCGATTTTCCCGATTTTCCCAGAGAATGGATCGTGACGTCACAAATCTCGCCACATACGACTATAATCCGGACTGTTTATGTTTGACTGATATGTCAAAATATATAGTCCCAGATGAAAATGCAAAGTATATTATTGCTAGCAATGAAAATAACCTTGAGAATCGGTGATCATTAGAATGTTTCATGGTTCTTATTGTCGTTTTTAGGGAAATGCTTATGATGAAGATGAAGACGATGGCAGGCAACATGGTGTTCAATGTCAAACACAGTAGACTGTGCTTTTATTTACATCTATTTTTTAAAAGGTTATTACAAAGAATAGAGAATACTGAGAGAGAATCCTGCTGAAAGGGTATTGAATATCGATGATTTACTGTATATCTGCAGTAGACAATATTTTAGGCTCCCTTAATTTAAAACCATGATGATTTCTATGTAATATATACAATATGAGCGGGCGATCTGTATGAGGATTACCTCATACAGATCGCGCGCGAATATTGTATATTACTTATGAAACGTTTAGGTAAACTAGCTCAGGTTTTAAAGAAACTTTTGAAAAAAAAATCAATCTGACCGAGAAAATCAGAGTTAAAGTTTATGCAAATGAACAAGAAATCTGTATGTAATATACAACTCTCTTCATGGGCTATGATTTCTATTGTGTTAGAATTGTTGCCTTATGAATATTAATGAGTTTAATAAGGTTTGTTTATGTTCTTCGCAGAAGACGAATTAATGTCGTATTACCATTGACATTCTGTACCKAAAGTCGTTATTCTCTCCCAACCATTGCTGAACCAATTCTTTATGGCTGAAACTGAATTCTGTGACAAACCTATTGTACTTAAGTCACACTCAATCAAGCTAATTGTTGTTGCTGTTATTTACTATGTAACGTGAGGGCATTAAATTTTATAAACAGCTGTATTTGGCAACTGTGTTAATGTCCTCGCTCTATCTCTTCACTCCACTATAGTGTCTATGTTATATGTGCAAACAATCTACTAAATTATGTAAGAGTAATTCTTCAACTTGAATTCTTCAATAAATCGTAATAGCTACCAACTGTTTGTAACTTATAGTGTGGACAAAATCATTCAAGCACGTGTCAAAAAAGGTTTACACTAAAGTGACTTGACGAGAACGGAACGCATAGATCATACGATCAGTACTAAGCATTCTGTCGTTTATGTCAAACATAAATAAGCTCTAGAGTGATTTCCCTAATGGAGTGCATGTCTTATTATATCCGTACACACTTTTCTTAACTGGAAAGAAAAAAACACTGAACAAACAAACAGAAAACAAATAGTTTTAAGAAATATACCTAATCGCGGCTAACTTGTTTTCAACCCAATTCAAACCACTCGGGAGTAAGTTTCATTGTTCGTTGTATTTTCATAAAAAGTTATTTTTCCTACATGATTTGAATTGGGTGGAAACCATATGAAAAAGGGTGTGGCTAACATAACGACATAGTTTAAAACTTGTTAACGTCCCAGGCGGCCTTGCGACCTGGGACGTTCATAAAATGCAAAGACTTTCTGTGTTTTTGTTTTCCTGTCACGTTCGGTATGTACAACATGTCTGATTGTTGTCATGGCACATATGCCTATACTTGTTTATTGAGGTCCGTATCGGTCTGTATGGCATTCCGGCATGAAGTTACCTCAGGTCCGATTACCGCAGTCAACTGAAACAAATATGGTGGCTTTCTTTGCGCCTAAATACAAGAATGGCTCCGACATGTTTTTGGCTGAGAAAGGTCTGGAGCTGACTAGTATATTCTAGTCTGCTGGGTTTCCTGTGTTTTTGTACAAACAATGTATAATCGAAGTAAAGATTTCATTGCTTGACATTTATAAGTTTTTAAGTGGTTCTCATCTATTTAAGCTAAGTTATAACTTTATTGGATATATACAATTAAGCTTCAGACTACCGGTACTTTTTATTTGAGCTCAATTCACTAGGTTAATTAAGGTTGTATCACAAAGTTTGAAAGTAATCGCCAATATATATTATTATCATTTCTCTGTGTCGACTGAACAACTTTAGACAGATAAGCAGTACCGAATTTTGCTGAAGCTGAATTAAAAAGAGGAACTGCTTGCAGTCTATTAAATTACATACAAATTACTGTAAACTGATCACCTCCTCTAGATTAAATACCGGAGGGGAGGGGGGAGGGGCATACTCAATGCCAACTTTGGTGGGGGTGTGCCGCATGACCGTCAAAACCTTTACCCTATTCAGACCATTTTTTGTGATTTTACATAACCTATTAATTGCTATACGGGTATGTTCTGCAGGATAGGGTCCCTTTTTCAGAGCTCCAAGTCTGGGAAAGGGTATCATTTTTAGCCCATTTAAGTAAATATCTAAGATAAAAACTATTATTTTGAAACTATTTATAGGGTTTTTTCGTGAACATACTGTAAGCTTTTTTATAGACCATATGAAAAAGGGCATGGCTTATCATAACAACTTAGTTTATAGGATTTTTATTGTATAATTGCTACAGTGCATTACAATGAATGAGATCTGAAAGTTTGAATGCCCTTTACATTTAAGGACCAGAAATTACAGGTGTTTGAAATTGTAAAGGTTTGAGTGAAACTCAGTATGGCCTGACCAGCCTCGTTTTCACATTTTTGTTATATTTCAAATGCTCATAACTCTGCTGATATTGAATCAACATTTGAAACTAAACTCCGACAGTTTAATAGTTTAAAGATATATACTCCTTCTTACGGTGAAAACAAAAATTTGGACCATTGAAGTGCTCATTTCCCTGTCTTCTGCTTGTTTTTCATATGGTTCAATAATTTTTATTTACATTTCAAATTGTAAATCTGTGAAAATGTCCAGTATAGACTGGGCTATAGAAATAAATGACAATAATGATTATTGATTAATTAACATAATAGGTGATGTGATGGTTTGTGACAATTGCTTGATATTTATTTCCTTGATATTTATAATCCCAAGGCAACACGCTTAGCTGGATTGATTGAACAACTTGTACAATGCCATGACTCAGGTTCATTCTTTATTCCTGCACAGCCCCTGTGAATAAAAAAGCAGATCTAAACAGAAAAATGTTCTTTTATATTAAATAAAGTAGGAACTTAATACCAGTCATACCATTCTCCACAAGTTTCACATTCAATTATGTTAGTCTGCTTTGATATTTTACAGTGATTGCACTTCCAACAGTCTTTGAGCTCACTCAYTCACAAATGTATTGTTAAATACCAGGAAAAATAAAAAAAAGATATTAAAAACATTTCTCAAGCATATATTTATTATCGCCTTGATTCCTTTGTGTGTGACTACTGAGGCAAAATTTGGATTTTAGCTAGATTTTTTAGGAGCGGATTTTCGCAGTTTTGAGTTTTTCATTTACATCAGCGGAAATTATGATCATTTTGACTAGTATTCCAAGTATATCTAAAATATATCAGAAATTATGGGATACCATCGCCATTATTTTTTTGAGTTGCCTTGACACTAGTACTTTCTGAAAAATTATTGGCGATATCCCATAATTTCTGATGTATTTTATATATACTGCAAATCAGGAGCCCATTGCTCCTGTGCAAAAGTCAAAATGATCATAATCTCTGCATATTCCTGTGAATGTACCCATAGTTCTAGTTAGTCGGACTAACCGTAGGCTAGGTCGCCAATCTATCTATCTATGTGTCATGTCACGTTTGGACCACCGGAAGTCAAGAATTCGAGACGTAGAAACCGGACGTATTTGATGATCAACTACTGGGTTGGCTATGCTATTATAACATGACCGGAAGCTCATACGTTATAGATGTTCTAACATCGATAGTAACTGTTCAATGATACTTGCGCTTTTATACAATCAAAAATTCATTCGTTTACAAATGCGGTATCTCTAATCTCATCAGAATGCATTTCTTATCATCAGAAGCACGCGTCGAGTAGTGTGCTTACGAAACTGAATCAATAGCCTTTCTAGCTTTAGATGTGTCTTGTCTTGGCAGAGGTTTCAAATTAGAACTAGACGCCCCTGGGGCGTGAAGTCGGACTAGCTATTTTTGAAAATTGATAGACACGAGTGAAAAGATTATGATGTTATATTTTGTCTAATCATATGATATTATGAATGTAAATGAAACTTGAGAAAGACAGCAGGATATTACATAAAAGATAACAATTCGATTAAAATATATATTTCTTAATTTTTCTCCAAAATAGCCGAACTCACGGTCTAATAAGAGCGTCTATTTCAAAATATCCAAACTCTCTTGGGACTAAAATAAACTTGACCTAAAAGGTCATGTAATCAATACCAACAATGAATGTTTTAAAGTAGTCCTTGCTTTCACTGATAAAATCAAACGTTGGTATGTAGATTATATGATGCTAAGCTAGTGAAGGCCCATAAGTAAATGATACCATAAAATCATAAATTCACCTTTTTGTTATTGATAAAAAATGTTTCTTCTTGTTATAATTTGAAATCTTTGCCCACACAGGACTGCCTAACGCTAGAAAGGCCATTGATTTACTTTCGTAAGCATACCACTCGAAGCACCAAGCGATCTGCACATGCGCGTACTTATGATTCCTAGACTGATGCATTCCGATGATATCACAGATACCACATTTGTAAACGAATAGTTTTTTTTGTCATATAAAAGCGCAAGTAGCATATAATATTTACTAACGATATTCGTACATCAATACGTTTGAGCTTCCGGTCATGTAATAACACAGCCAACCCAATAGTTAATCATTAAGTTCTTAACTTCCGGTGGTCCAAACGCGACATGACACACAGATAGATTGGCTAAAAGGTAATTTTAAAGTTGGACCTCGCCTTCGGCTAGTCCGACTAATAAGAAGAAATTTTGTTTATCCGTTAACAAAAAGGCAACTTTGATTATTGACCATTAGTTTATAGGCATCTTTATTTTATTTTGTAAAGTATTTATTTTCTTGACCTGAGAGGTCAATTTGATCATAGTTAATATTAACTATGATTTGATTTAATTACTTAGCGACATTTAGTCTACCGCATTTGATTTTACAGAAGATAAACTTTTTGGAGATTCTTCTGACTAGTAACTTTGGTTCATGTACAAAACACTACGATAAGTATACGTAGCGTGTGAATAAACAATTAGAATTTTTAACAGTACATTAATTGAAGTAACGCATTCTTACTTTCCCTATGTATTAGAAGTAAAAAAATATATTCTACTCCATAATTTACATTCATATATAATCATATTGTAATCATATGATAGACAAAATATTACATCATAATCTTAACGTGTTTAAAAACCTTTCACTCAAAAATGGCTAGCCCGACTTCACACTCTAAGAGCGTTAACTTGAGTTTCGCAAAGGTCCCTGGGTGATTGCCTTGTCGCTATGCATGTCGGGAATGCTCAATGGCAGATGGGTCTAAATTTACTACATGGCGGAAGATGGATGGTGAGAATGAACTTTGTAGTGGACGTTTTAGCATTGTGGTTGATAAATCAGTACATGTCAACTACCAACCTCTCATCCAGTGAATTTCCGTCGCGTTGTATCAAGATAACGATGTACATCTAGAAATAACGACGAAAAACAAAGCAGTTTCATACTGACACCGTGAACTCATCAGTTTGAATGGTTCAGTGGACCGTTCAGTTTTTCATATTTTCTTCGATTGCTTGCATTTCTATCAGATTGGAAAGAAAGTCTGGAAGTCAGTTTGTCAGGAAAAGTAAGCTTTAAGAATCTAAATAGTTACTCGTCAACCACTATTTTTGTTACTGAATATTATTCGTGCATTCACCGGATGTGCGTTTTTGACGAGTCCAACAAGAATCTCAACAGTACTTTTTTATCCACGGCAATTAGTTATTCACTGGTTCCTAAGAGATTTTTCTCAACAACAACAGTGTACTTTCTGAGAGGTCTTGCTGGGTTTTAGGCATATCATTCTCGAATATCTTAGTTTTACAATTAATTCTGTTGGGGGTAGAAGCTTAGATATTGTTTATCAGTGTGAAACCGAAGATTGACCGAAAATCTGCCCGTGGAAATCATTGAATCACAAAGTTGAACTGGGGAAAGATTTTGTGACAGTGATGCAGTCTTAAGGACCTTTAATAATAAGGACTGAATTACAAAGATAGCTTCTTGCGAAAAAGAATTGTTGAAAGAGTGACAACGGCGGATGTGCCTTGAAACGTCGTCAAAAGTGGCGAATTCTTACGAAAAGCCAGAGACGATGAAATTATATTTTGTGGTGAACATATTTTGATATTGTAATGTCCTCTTTGGCAAAATGTCACGAAGGGACTGTCTCAAAAGAGCCATTGGCACCATCAACATCGACTATCTCAAGTTCACCACCACGTAATCGAGCAAACAGCATGCCAGTGAATAATAACAGTGGAGCTCATTCAGTCATTCCTAATGGACATCCAGAAAATGCAGAAAAACAACAACACGATGTTAAGGCTAAAAAGAAGCTGATACTTCCAGTTGGGGATGGACTTGTGTGTACAGAGGCACTGCCTCCTCCAAAAAGCTCATGGCTACTTCGATTATTTGAATCCAAGTTGTTTGAAATGTCCATTGCTATTGCTTACTTGTTCAAATCCAAAGAACCTGGAGTTCTCACATACCTTGGAAACAAACTTTTTGTAAGTACTTTTTTTAAATATATTATATAACTGTTGTTTGTTTCAAAATATGCCATTTTTAAGTATGCAATTCAGTCTTCAACTCTGACAATTGAAGGAATTTAAGAAATGAGGAAATAAATAAAATGTTTACTTTGCTCTGACTAGATTTGAAAGACATTTCTGGTGCTTTTGGGCACATTCATTAGTTAAATGTTGTGAGGAGGGGGTGGTGTTTGATAGTTCAAGTAAGGTGTCAATATTAACATGTTGCGCCCCCTGACATAATAAAAATAGAAACATACATGTACTTCCCAGTTATGCACAAATGGCAAAAATTGTTGTTTTCCCATATTCATTTACCTTATTCTTGATTTATTGAGCTATAGATTTGATTCTCATGAAATGTAGTACTTGAGACTTAATAGAACTTTAACATAAATCAATATCAAATGTGGATGTATTAATAGGTATTATAAATAATGAAATTCAAGTCTCAGTTACGTGTACTTTAGTTAAAATAGACCTAATGTGTTGCTATAAACGTTTCCACCCAATTCAAACCACCCGGGAGTAAGTTTCATTGTTCGTTGTATTTTCATTTCATTGTTGAATTCTTAACAACAAAAGTCCTTTTTCCCACAGGATTTGAATTGGGTGGTAACATACATAGCAACGCATTAGCCGATCAAGAAATAGTACTAGTATAAAATAGACATTAGAAACACTCAAAATTGTTGCATTGATACAAATAGAGTGAAATTATTTATTTGAAGGTTTTGGTGACATGTCTGAAATTGGTAGGGGGGATGACATATTCATCAGACCATTAGACACATGTATTTACCCCACAAAAATATTGAAATGTTAGCAAGCACATACATGTGAATGCAGGTAGTATTATACTGTTGTAGTTAAGTTCAGTTACGCTGATTGTGTGGGTTCCTTGCCAAACTACACACTAGTTGTTTCATTTGGGACCATGGTGATATTGCTTGAATTTTGAAAGTCAATATTAGAAATAAAAAACCCTTCCATTGTCAGTAGATATCAATAAGGATCACATCTTGTGAATTCTCTCACAAGTATCAATTTGGTTTTTGTCTTGTACAAATGTATTGGCTAGGAATTGGCCTCTGACAGTACTACATGTAAGTACTGTATGTGTTCCATTTTTTTTAGCTTTGTGTTATACCATAATTGCAATTTTATCAATGAAAGGAATGATTAGGGTATTCAGTGGTTTTATCAGACTTTTGTGATCATTCTACATGTACAAGTATTATCTTTTTGCTATTTGCAAATCTTTCAATGAGTTTAATTTTAACCACTAGGTAAATCTTATTATGACTAACTGTTGTAAAGGTTAACAAAGACCACAAAACAGACTAAACAAGGTTTTATTCTGAGTACCAGTGACTTTATTGACTGTGGAGATAACACTTTTCATGGGATAAAGATTTTGTATGATAGATTATTATGACATTTTATTCAATTTTTCATTTCATGTTGTTTGGATAGTGCATGTGTCTATAAGTGTTTATGTCTTTAGATCTGAGAACAATTGAAAAATATCACTAATAATCATCTACATTATCTATGTATTTTTCATTTTTTATTTTTTGAATTCTATCATACATGCCCTTTCACCATGTTGTGTTTATATTTGTGGTAAACCATTTCTTCACAGTTTTGTTTCCCAAGCTAAAGTGGTTTTTAGTTACAAAATAAAACCTGTAAAAAGTAGGCTAGGCTAAATATTTTATGATAAATGTAAACTTGGTTTGTTGTTGACAACTGTTGCACTGTATTAAATAACTGAAAGATGAAATACATGGACATGGTTGGCTTATGACAAGACACAGTTTTTCAAAATGGTTGCTTTTTATTTAAGTATCATTTTTTTTTGCTTGTCCAAATAACTTCGATAAATGTACTTCAATTAAAGCCTTGCAAAAAAAGAATTATTTTCTAATTATTACTTCCCTTCTATATATTCTTTAAATAATGTCACTACAGTGTACAATAAAATATTTCAATCTAGTAATTCTCTGTATTTTCTTTCCACAGTCTTTAGATGATGATGATGTTAGTTTTTATCTCCCTCAGCTTATGTAAGTATTCAATTTATTATGACCACAATAGTTTCAAACAAGGAAAATTTACATGCATTACAAAATTATGAAGTTGTAATAAATAGTCATGCCTACATGTATTAAAAAATTTACTGCAGTTTTAAAGCCCATTAAGGTTGGATGTGAATATTATATATTGCTTATCAAATTCCAACACAAGATAAAGCATTCAGGATAAAATATCATTTTAAAGAGAAATTCGAAGTTTAAGTTGAATGCAAATCAGGACAAATCTCTTGCTCATACATGTAATAGATTGTGTTTTCCTAAGAATTATTAATGAATTTGATAAATTGTCTTTAATAACTTTAATTTTTTCAGTAACATGTATATCCATATGGATGATGTTGGTGAAGTGGTCCACAGTTACATTGTGGAAAGATGTAAAAGAAGTTTTGCCTTTTCACTTCAGGTATTAATGTGCAATGTAGTAGTGGAAAATTGACATTAATTTAAAAATAGGAATTGATGTAAATGGCAAAGAAACTTCTTCATCCAAAGTGACTTATTTTGTTTTGAAATTTATTTCTATGAGTAAATTTTTTTTCTCAATTTTTTCTCTTTTCTTTTAATGTGACATGTGTTTTATATTTTGCTTTTATTAACTTATTGATTAATGTTCTTATTTTTCCATCCATCCATTCATGTTAGTCATTCTTGACTAGTGATCCTGGCTATCGAAGTGAAGTTATATTATGTCAATGTCAATGTTATATTGTTAAATGTTATTTTTTGTAATTCTTGGTTAGGCTGCATGGCTATTAGAGGCACACTGCGCTGATGGATGGCTTCCTACCAAAGAGTATTCAAGAGGGATGAGACTGTTACAGATTATCAAACTTGAGGGTGCAAAGCCAAAGTATGTACCTAAGGAAGAGCATACATGTACTAAATCAGTGAAACAAATAATGTATTAAATATTGCCCATTAGATGATAGAAACAAAGGAATGAGCATAATTCCACACTTTTTGCAGCTAGGTGTTACACTCTGTTATCTAATAATGTTAAAAGTCTATAATAATTATTGGCCTTAAAATTATGTTTTTTTTTATGTCATGCATTCCTCCATTGCTTTGTTAAATAAAGCAGGATTAATTGTGATGACGTTTTCACATGAAATAATGCAGCCATGAGGGATGCTGAAGATTACAAAGAAATTCCACATACATGTAATTTCCTCATAAACATAAAGATTATACAATAAGATAGAATCTATAGGTTTGTAAGTTTACTTAAAATGGTAAACTTGTGTTATTTTTAGGTCACCAGTAGGTGTTGCTCAGTCTGCTATAGCTCCAATATCTCCTATTACATCTACACCAAGCAAAAAGACCCACCATAGGTCAAAGTCTGATGCTACTGCTGCAATAGTGCATAGTGCTACATACTCAAGTAACCTGATGCAGGTAGGATAGCAATTGTTATATAATACTTTATACTATACATAGTAGTTCCAGTGGATGCCTGTCAATAAAGAACTTGACCTTACTCACAATCAGACTTTGAGTGTAGAAGGTTTTACATTGTAATGATATAAACACAAGCAATGTTTTTGAAATTTCATGACTCTGAAAAGGCAAGTACAATTTGAAAATTGAGTGGTTATATGAGTTTTTGGTCAAAGTGCAGTCAACAAAATGCAGTATTAAAAGATAGAAAGTTGGTTTGTGTACTTCTTTCGTTGTCTTCTCTTCTGATGTTTTAATTGCAAAGCAACATTTTTTTTTGAACAAGTTTAAATGTAAAGTTGCCAGTTCTTGCTTTTTTTGACCAGTTTTCCATAACAACTTAATCAGTATTTCAGTACAATGAAAAAATGTCATGATTATACACTTCAATCAAAAATGTTTTTTTTTTTTTAGTTTACTGTTGGTTGATTCGTTTATTGATTTGATGATTGATTGATGGATTGACATGTGTTTTTTAAGGCACACGAGTTTGAAGGAACTGCAGCAAATGACTTGAGATATGGTCATGCCTTTGATGGCTATTGTCACAAACATTCAACCCTTACATCAGCCAATGCTTCTAGTCCTGCACTTAAAGATCTTGCTAGAGCGCAAGGCAGCTGCAATTGTCAGGTAATGGTTTAACAATTGTCAGGTAATGGTTTCATATTAATGATTAATTATTTATCTAAGAATATGCTTGATGATATGTAGTACAATAATCATTATTGGATGGCTGCACTAGAGGAACTCGATATTTCCATGATTTTTTAATAGAATGCAAGATTAGAGGCACAAAGAGAATTTATTTCAGCCTTGATTGGGATAGGCAAGAGGCTCCAAACACTGCCAACAAAGGACCTCAAGAGTAAGTGTCCCTGAACTATTTATATAATTACAAACATTACATGTATTTAAATTTTTATAAGCAGTAGTAATGGAAGAGAAGCTGTGCACAGGCATGCTAAGTATTTGGTAGTTGATACGATTTATGATATTATTAGCAAAAGGCTAAATATGGCTGCTCCTTTAAATAACAACTATCTTAATCTGTTCATACATTGTATAATACCCAGCTGCTTCAGTCCTCAAATTCTTGTTTCCCATTTATTCTTTGAACTGCTCAGTGTTCATAAAAGAGGTTTGACAACTCTTCATGCACCCAAAAAATATGGATCATATTATTGCAAACACTGTTTGATACCCTAAGAAACAGAATAATAGCATTGCTCATTGCAATTGCATACTCATTGCTAACATTACTGTAAACTTAACAATTGTTCGTGCTCTTTTTTTATTAACTTTGTTGATGCATAATTGCTTTTTCCAATTACAGTGTTTCCTCTAATCTATTTAATTTTGTTGTGATAATAGCTTCCAGACTGTTTGCAGAACTGTCTTTATTAAATCTCAACCTACCAGCGAAAGTTAGCCTTCCTGTGCACTTGAAGCTGGGAAGCCATTATGTTGTAAGAATACCGCATACTGCAGCCGTGGTGCTGAACTCCAAGGATAAGGTATTTATGATACTTTTATTGGAAAAATAGGAATTAAAATACTGTAGACTAGACAAATATGCCTCTACACCTGTTTGTATAACTATATCAGAAACTATAGGATGGTTCAATGCTCTGAAGTATTCAAATTGATTAGCATAATTTTGATACCATATTTGGGATTAAAGTCAAAATTGCCATTGGAACTGCAAATAAGAAATATTCTTATTTTCTCAGTTTTTGAGGATATTTCTGTCATAATTGGTGTGGATATTATGTGGCTTTTGTTTAGTTTGTAGTATTTTGAAAGATGTCAGATTTAAGAGAAGGAAAGTTTTAAATTTACAAATAAAATATTGTGAAGCATGGAACACAAGAAATGTATGCCAGTTACATGTTTCAATCAATTCTTGCTCTTGGATTGGTTGAGAACCATTTTATTTGAGAACATTAATGTCAGCCAATTGAAAAAAATGGAATCAAATTTTGTTGAATATATAGTAGATACATTAGAAACAGCAGGTGTGGGTATAACTGATTTATTATATGGCAAAAAAGCTCATGTTTGATTTATATATTTTTGATTTTCCAGGCCCCTTATTTCATATATGTTGAAGTATTGTGTTCTGAAAATGAGGATGAGCCACTTCCATCAAAACGATTTGAAAGCTCACTTAGACAGACAAGGTATAGAGTGCTAACTATCTTATACAATACTGTTATCAATACAAAGTATTTAAGGAATGCATTAGTGTATTAGAGTTGAATAGCACTTCATATGAGGTGGAACACAATACACAGACATTCTTACCTAGTGGACAATATATATAGTTGTGAGTAGATAGCTTTGTCTGGCATTTTTAAAACTACGTAGGTCCAGTTGCTGTAATATTTTGAATTGCATCTACTCATTCTTCCGAAGTACTATCAGATTTTGCCACATCTTTTTTTTCTATGTAAAATATTCACAGATCTGAAGAGCATTTACCAACATATTGCAGATCAGAAACTGTCAAATTTATGGTAGGTTAAGTGAAATAATATGAGAAAAATGTACCAATTAACCGTACCACGTTAGAACATCCTATTTCAGTTTGTATCTAGGTGATGTGCATAATAGTATCATATGCTTCTACTACCAGCATGCTTTACCCATTGTGTCATGCTAATTATAATATAATTGTATTTTTTACTGTTTTGTAGATCAATTCAGGAGACTCTGATGATGAATGTTGGTCAGCAGAGCTTGAACAAATGCTCAAACAAGAATCATTAGCTAGTAATGAGAAAACTGAACCAGATGGAACAGAGGTTGGTACAGACTGTTCTCAAATCTTTTTTTTCAGTAGTTAGTGGAAAAAAAACATGATTTCAATGGTTTTGTGTTTTGATGTTTTTGAATTGATTTTAAAGCAAATTCAATTTGACAAACCAAGTGTTTGTAAAAAAGAATGTTTTTCAGTTATAATCAGATGTAATAAAGAATGAAACTAATCAATGAAAAATTATTCAAAAAAGGACTGAAGAAATGAATAAAGGAATTCATTGCTTCATAGGGATATTATTGTTTCCCTGCAACTCGTGATCTGCACATCCTTCAGTTTAATGATGATAATCAGATGTCTACTGGACATCAAAATGTTCACCAATAGGTTTCTCTTTAGAATTTTGACTAAAACAATGAATATTATATGTAAACACTACTAGTGCAATTTTACCTCATCAAAACAGTGAGAAAAAAAAAAAACAAAATAAAAGTTGACAAAATTTTACATGCATCCTTTAATAGAATTCATTAATTTTTTTTCTTTGAAGGATACATTTGTTGCTGCAGCTGATATCAGAAAGAGATTGTCAGAACAACTAAGCACTCCTGCAGCACAATTCAAAAGAGATCCTGAAGACCCCTCAGGTAGTGGAGTAATATGATAAAAAAAGAGTCTGGCTAAAATATTCAGATCATTGTCCAATGTCTTCATACTTATTTGGTATGTTTTTCTCTATAGCATCTGCACTAAAAGAGCCTTTTGAGGACAAAGAGAGAAGAATACGAGAAACGTCACCCTATGGGCATCTGCCTAATTGGAATATCCTCTTATAAATACCTCTACTTTTACAGTAGTTTCTTCCAGTTCAGTGTTTAAGGACATGGTAATCCAGCATTTAATGTCATTGGGTTTTAGATTTTGTCATATATGAAAACATGTGAAAGCAAATTAGGTGACTAACTATATCCATTAGCAATCCACAATTTYCATCTGTTGGTTTTAAGATTGAATCTTGCAATATGTCCATTCCTAGAGCATAAAGGGATAGTAAATAGTAAGTATTTTTTCCATACACAAAATCTTGTAATGGATGCTGGTTGATCACGGCCCTTAAATGTGCTGCTGCACTGACTGATTTTTGAGAATGCTGAAGGAAAGCATGTACCTAAAAGGGTTAAAGAGATGTAACATGTGTTGACTGATATTATTGATAACCTTAAAAAAACCATCAAAGTTAAAAAATGTAGCTGAAATACTATGACACAGTTGAAGCAAAGGCATGTATCATTATTTTGTACTGTCATCCTTAATGGTCCTCACAGTTACTGCCCATGATAGTGAAATGTGGAGATGATTTACGTCAGGAGCTTTTGGCTTACCAATTGCTATCTCAGTTGCAGGTATTGTATGATCTCATAATGATACTTTACAGGCCTATTGTGGTCATGCCTTTGAACTCAGCCAATCACAGCATGCATTATATCTTCTATATTGTTCACTCTGTCTGATTATCAATGAATGTTTATTTAGGCCATTTGGAAACAGGAGAGAGTTCCTCTAGCACTCAGGCCGTAAGTACTCAATCTGATAATGCTATGTATATATAAGCTCCGTTGTAGACWTTGTTGATGTCTGGAACAATTTTTGCAGAGGGCATTGACTGATTTGAATAGATTTCCTCGACAGAAAAAAGCTCGCTCTGAAGCCTAGACAATTTTTGTAGCACGAAACTTTGAAGAAACATCATTATCAACGTTATTCCAAGATTCTGGCTTACTTATATTGTACTTGTTCAGGGGCTCTTTCATTTGTTCATTTATATAAAATGATGTGTGCATCCATTTATGATTCATTCGTCTGTTTATTATTTCGTTCTTTCATTCATTTGTTCCTTCAAACATTTGATTTATGATCCCTGTTTCTTCCAGGTTTGCTGTAGTTGTAACGTCCAATGACAGTGGTCTGATTGAGCCAATTGTCAATGCAGTATCTCTTCATCAAATTAAAAAGCACAGCCAGATGTCCTTACTGAATTATTTCATTAAGGTATGGAGTATTTTGCGACCGATTGTAAGAATAGAGCTAATGGATAACCGTAGTTCCCATGTATCCTTTCGGTATGTTCCGTGATTTTGATTTTTTATTCGAGTTAGTGTATTTATTAGTGTATTGATTATTAATTAATGTTAGTTTCTCGTGTTATGCTTTCTTATTTACCACTGTTGGCGTCATCGAATCGTTAAAATTGTTGTTCATCCACGAGACGAAGTAGAGTGGTGCATGCTAGTGTTAGAGTGGTGCATGCTAGTGTTGAGATCCAGTTTTTCATGGTTTTAGTATTAGCGCTCCATCATGACGTTAGTGTTATTTCTTCAAGCAATCACTTAGATAATATTTGCTATTGGTTTTCTATAGGAACATGGTGAAATGAATTCAGAAGCATTTCTTACTGCTCAGCGGAACTTTGTCGAAAGCTCTGCAGCGTACTGTCTGGTCTGTTACATACTCCAGGTTAAAGACAGGTATGACATTAAGAGTGGTTTTCATAAACAAGTGTAATATGTACATGTATAGTGTAAGTTCCTTGAGGCTGCAGTGAATTCCTTGTTTGTGCCATTACATTGAATTGTTTATTTCAGACACAATGGCAATATTTTATTGGATAACGAGGGTCGTATCATCCACATCGATTTTGGTTTCATCCTCTCAAGCTCGCCAAGAAATTTGGGTTTTGAGAACTCGCCATTCAAGTTGACCCACGAGTTTGTCGAGGTGAAAACAGTGATATGCACCAAACATATATTGTTGATTGAATTGTTGTGTCTCCTGCTCGGGCATAAAAGCAAACAATAGCAAAAATCACTGAAACTGACTGCTATTATACTCAAGTCATTGCTGATAGCGCGGGACATTTTTCAGTGTTCAAAACTATGTATCCACAATACTTTTCAGTCTCATTTTGTATCTTGCATGCTTTTGATGTGACAAACATTATTGAAATGAGTGTATAACTGACCGTGAGTAGATGTAGGCGCGCAAGGCATCATGGACCAAATGGAACATTTAAGAAACACTTCAAGAGCAGTAGTTTCATTCTGCTATGACTGATATTTTGTTAATTGTTATCTTTTTACTCAGGTCATGGGCGGTATTGGTAGTGACATGTACAACTACTTCAAGATTCTAATGCTGCAAGGTTTTCTAGCAGCTCGTAAAAACATGGACAAATGTCTCCAAATTGTAGAAATCATGCAGACTGGCTCGAATCTCCCTTGCTTTATGAATGGACCATCTACAATAAAAGCGATGAGAGACAGATTCCATATGAACTTGACTGAAGAGCAACTCGATACTTTAGTCAATGGCATGGTGGAGACAAGTATATCATCGCTCACTACGAAACTTTATGATGGCTTTCAGTATATCACTAATGGCATCCTTTAACAGAAATCTCTTGTAAAGAGAGAAATTGATGTAACAATGAATTGAAGATTCTGTTGGCTGTGATGGGGTCTTCAAGTAGACCAAGTCGTGATCTTCGCTCACCGCAAAAAACTGCTAACAATTGTACAGAATTTAAAATGGTTGATTAGAAGAGTCAAAGTTGTCATCGAAATGGTTTATTAGAAATTATCGAAAATGGAATTATGTAGAGTGTAGAGCAAGGAGAAAGTGGGCTGATACTTCATGAAAGAACCCTAATCCTAATACGTGTACGTGTATAGACCCCTTGCATGTGACGTCAAAACAGCTTCATCTGGAGGACAAAACAAAAGATTTTTATCCTCTTGGGAACTAGAATCTATTGTTTTGTCCTCCAGTTGGAGCTGCATTCCCATGAACTGCAAGGGGTCTATAAGTGGGATCCTACGTGTTCTTACATGAAGGACCATAAAGTAGTAACCGGTCAGTTTATCCCGTAGACATCGTGGTTTTCTCGGACGCAAGTGTTGTACACTTTGGTTGGTTGATCAAAGGCAAATACCAAAATAAATAAACTTTCCAATTCTGAAGTACAATTGTACAAATGGACAAAGATAAAGGACCCTTATTCATTGTAAACTTCACCCTATGGATGAGTTTTAAATAATCGTAGGCCGAACTTAATTCGTCGAACTTAATTCTGTTCAAATTTCTTCAGTATTATTATCAAGTTTATAAGAGGCAAAATGATAGATTTAGATAAAAACGCTGTGTTTTAAAAACTCAACGTGTCAGTTATAAATTCAAGAGAATAGGAAAGTTTTAAAGTTTCGCACATTGAACAATAGAAACTTGAATTCGGTACGGTGAAAATTAAATTCGACGTTAAACCCAGTACTGCATAGAAGTAGATTGCCTTTATGTGCTTTGGCTTCGCTTACGTGCACAATAGTTAGTTAGTTGTCCTTTTAAGCCCCCGACGCACACGATAGTTAGTGCGTAAGGGAAATGCCACGCGAGGCACTTTGATCAGCGTTTTGCTCACCGCGAACAGCAAAAATTGGTACGTACACGCTGCTCAAAGCGACTCACGTGCCATTTCCATTACGCACTCTCCTTTCGTGTGCGTCGGGGGCTTAAAGGACAAAGAGTGCTAGGTTAGGTCAGACTTTTTACGCGAATGATACATCCAGTTTATAAAAGCTGAAGATAAAGTATTTGACAAAGAAAATAACTATTAAATATTTTTTTTTATTATCACATCATAATTTTAATATATTTGTTTCCCAGGGGAGGAAATCAAAATATTTTTAGTTGATAATCTATTAAAAGTTTCTGTATTTTTTTCCTTTGCGCCGAAGGGTATAGAAATGTCAAACTGAGGAGGGTCCTGGTGATTTTTGAACATTTTGTTTCTGTGCGCAAAGTATTGTACTATAAATTTTTCAAATAAAAGAAACACGTCAGAAAATGATTCTGATTTGATCTTGTTTTGTCGTGTTACATCACGTGATTTGCAATGCACTATGGGATCCGTTTCAGTACAAAACAATCCGCCATGTTTTCTTCCACAATCACACAATGCATAGCGTAAAATGCTTCAGATATCTATTTTGATTCATAGAGTGTAAACTGTGTTCAGTAAGTAAACAGTTGGAAAGCAGTGACAAAATATCCCACCGTGTTTTCTAATAGTAATTGTCATCAAAGAGAACGCATTATTGCCATCACATTCTTTATTACAATCATTTCCTTAATCTTAATCCTTTAAAATAATCTTTTACTTTTATTAGAAAACCAAAGGCTACAAAACACTATAAAACTCTATAAACTACCCGGCTTGAACATCAAACACTATACAAAACTACTACAGTTTCTAATGTATCCCATTCCCTTTTATTCTTCCCCTTCCCATTCAATCTCACTTTTACGTTTTGCTTCACTTTGTAGTTCAATTTCTTATAAACCGATGAAACAGCAATGAGATATGAAGAATTATGCTTGACGAGTTTCGTATAATTTTTCATATCACACAATGGTCGAATCTCATAATTGTTTTATCATTTGTTGCAAAACTAAAATGACCATTAAAAAGGCTTAACTCTATTTCACGGGTGCAATGCGCTCACTTCGGCTTGTCTGCAGTCATCCTAATTAGTCTTCAGTCAAATTTGGCTACGCTAGAGTCAACAGTACAACGATCGTTTGAGGTTGACTGCTTTAAGTGTGGACGCTTTGTGAAGAAAAACAAACCTTGAAGCATAATGTTAAGAAAATAAATAAACTCGATTCATCCCACATGTGTCGTCACTTTCAAAAAATATCTATAGTATGAATTACCTTTAGGATGTGACGTTTTAGTTAATTCAACTACTGCAAAAAAGGTTGTCACAGCTAGCGAATGAAGAATAACTGACAGTTACTGTGGGTAACATGTACTAAGATCATCTATTGGAAGACACGAACAAACAAAATAAATAACGACCAATAACTTTCGTTCCGACAACCTATTTTGAAAACAATATAGCATTTTTTAAAAGTACGGCGATATTTTCTTCAGGGTGTGTTTGTTACTATGAGCCTGAAGGATCACTGATTCCTCTGGCTAAAATACGTCGTCTTATTTGCACATCATCAGACTGAAAAGAGAAAAGAGGAAAAACTACTAATTAAAAAAGGATTGAGATACATAAATAGCTCAATGCAATAAAGGAGAATAGTTGATTATTTTTCCATTAAAATTCAACGAACCTCATAGCCAGCTTCATCAGCACTGAACGACCCAAGTCCAGCTTTGGTCTCGAGTTCAGCTACAGCCTCAGCTTGAGCTTGAAGCGCCAATAAATCTTCGTGCTCCGAAAGTGATCCGGTACGTGGTCGATATCTGATCGAAAGGTCATCCTCGTCGAATTCGTCTTCGGAAATGTTAAAGATGGTGTGACGTGTTTCCGGTGCACTGGAACTCAGCTCACCGTCATGATCAGTATAAGAAATCCAGTCCTCATAGGATAAACTTCTTATAGGAGGATCAATTCGGGATATTCTCTCGGCAAGGTCAGTGAAGGTTTGACCTGGTTTCTGTATGGGCTGATCAAATACAAAAAACAACATTAAATATTTTGCTTTTATTTCCTTGTTGCCGATCATTTGCTTGTTGGATTAGTACCTTAATGAACATCTTTGTCTATATATACTTTAGTTAAACAACCAAGTTCTTTAAGATCGAATGTTTTAGCGTATATAAACAACGTTTAAACTAGTAATATGCTCAATTAACGGCCAGAATACTAGATAGAACTAGATAGAACTGCTACAGCTCATCATCTTCACTTGCACCACAACGTAACCCTCAGTACATCTTTTCTCACTCATTCGATCTACAATCGTTGCCAAAATGCTTGGACTATATAAGTGAATCTCCTTATTTCAAGCAATACCAGCAGACAATTTCATCCCCCCTATCACCCTGAATGGAGTGTTGCCATTGAGCATGTCCCTATGATACAAAACCATCCAAAACAAGACCCAACTCTTACGAAAGGAGGTTAAGGGGGAGAATTGTGAAAAAGCAAAGGCGCAAAATGTTAGGCTGGAGACAAATAATTCTATGGTCTACGATATTTTGGCACCGATTTTAGATTTAATCATTTCTCAAAAAATTGCCCCTTAACTATTCAATTCTTACCTTGCTTTCTGATGTTTGCGTGCTGTAGATATGTGATCTGCTAATCTGCTCTCGAAGGACTTCGGGAAGGCGATTGCTTTTACTCCATTCACCAAATAAGGTCTTGCCATGTTGATAGCCCACTTCCTGTATACATGAAAGCGACATTGTCAAGGGTGGAGTGAGATTTTGTGACCAGGGAATACTCCATCCATCAGAGAATATAGTATAATCACTTAAGGGTGTGGTTCTTTTTCAAAAACGAGAGGGAGTAGTCAAATAATTCAACCAAATTAACGGATAGAATAAGAGCTTTACTTACAACAATCTCGTCGAAACGTCCAAACTCCAGCGTTTTGAACCTACAAAGAAACCACTTTAATAAGAGTTTGCGACTAAAAACTCCAATGGTTACGTTCAACAAGTTTGGTGACTGAGTTGGCCACACTGCAAAATGTTGTCCTACAATGTTCGATGGTTATTTGGCCATGAACAGTGCATATGTTAACAAGGTTTCAGGATTTCAAATATTCTAAATAAGCTGTGTTTTTACCTATCGATAGGCGGCCGTACATATTCACAGTAGCTGTTGATTTTAACCTCTTCTAACTGCTGTACACAAGACACGTACGCCAGACGTGATTGGATTTCTGTCATGTCGGGGATCTACAAGGATAAAAGTATTATGAATTATGAAGATTCAGATTCTCCTACAATGTAACTTAATTACTTATCTGCATAGACCCAATACTAACCCTGACTTTTTCGGAGAAGGGATTCCATCGGTTCCACAGCAACCACCACCCTGATAGGTGGTCACCGTAGTTCATGAGTTCACCATGGTACTCTGAACCGACATCAATGGCGATGATGGTTTGGGCGCCCATGTTCTTCATTACATCAGCTGCATAATGACAAGAAAAATGTCAAGAAATAGAAAACACAATATAATTAGATAACATCTTTGTCAGCACCATCATTTCAAGATAATAATAGAGCCGCATTCCCGTACACAGATACTTCTCAGTTTCCTAACGGAAAATAGAAGGCTGTGGTTAGAGACGAATTAACGAGTCTTTGATTTGACTGGCTCAAAAATTCCCATGTTCCATCAGTATGCATATATCGTACGACCTAGATTCATTTCCAAACAGATCCTTTCAACCTGGGTACGAGAATGAATAGAGCCGTAGTCTTAATCAGTGGCTGGGGTTTCTGAGTCCGCTATCGAGTCTGTGAGTCTGCACGTACAGCCGAAACTGTTGTAATTGTTGATGAAGGGTACACAGGAAAAAATCACGCACTTTAAAAGGTTGTAAATATGATGTAAATATGATGTAAGTGTCCAAAATGATATAAATTTGATGTAACTGATTTATTTTGGACACTTACATAATATTTACATCATATTTACAACCTTTAAAGTCCGCGAGTTTTTCCAGTGGTATCCTCCAATTATTTTAAGTCTAGAGAAATTTAGCGCTCTTACCAGGCAGATTATTGACGTAACCACCATCCAGCAATAGATGACCGTCTTTGGGATCACAGAGAGGAGGGAGGTAACCAGATAACGACATACTGGCTCTTACATACCGCCATAACGAACCTACGATAATAGAATGAACATATTATATTCCAAGTAACATTAATTGGAAATTTTCTAGGAATTTTGTTTTGTTTGCTCGGTATGTCTTAACAACCAACAACAGGAAACCCATAACTTTAAAAATACCCACCATCAGTATGAACACGCATTCTCGACGACGTGATGTCAGTAGTTATACAGAAATAAGGCAATAATAAGTCCTGCGGATAAAGCGTAATAGAATCGTTAGCTACAGCTATGCATTAGTGAATTAAAACAACGGTACCCAAACCCCAGGAAATACGGCATTTCAACAGTGTCGGCTTTTACCGGCCTTTAGAGGCCAAAGAAGGTGATTTTTTTTTATTTACACTTTAATTCCCTGCCTTCCCGTTGATTGTACTGTTAAAACACTGTTAACTCCCTGGCTATAATGTGTTAATTCCCCGGCCCTCCCCCGGCTAAATTGACTATGGATTATTGGTTCTAGAAGTAATGTTTAAAGGCCGACAATGAGGACTGGACGGGGTTTCAAGTCCGCGCAATTAGTTCCAGTCCGAGGCGTTAGCCGAGACGTAATGTTTAAAGTCCGACAATGAGGACTGGACGGGGTTTCAAGTCCGCGCAATTAGTTCCAGTCCGAGGCGTTAGCCGAGGACTGGAACCAATTGCAAGGACTTGAAATCCCGTCCAGTCCGAATAATCCAGTTTCGAATTCTCCAATGCTCTGTGTTAGCCTCATTTGCGCGCAAATATTCCTAATTGTGAGAATAAAAGTGTGAGATTTCAAATCAATTCTATTGTCTTTCTTTTCAAATTCCATGCGTTTTCTTGGGCTATCAATGAAACAAAAGAATATATTGCTTGGCTTTGAGGCTAACACAGAGCAAACAAGAAATCGAAATCGGAGTATT